CATCGGATACTTGAATGGCTCGCCTTCTTCACCTAATGCCAGACCACGTCGTCAGCTACGGCTGTTCAAGCTAGAGAACAATATCCTACAGCACGATACTTGCAATGCGGATGGGCATTGGTTGGTGCCAGTACTTCCCCGTTCGCTGCGAAAACAAGTTCTTGAAGCATTGCACGACGACCCATCAGCTCGACACTTAGGATTTCAAAAGACCTACAACCGCGTTAGGAGCCGTTTCTTCTGGCCTGGTCTTTCTACCTTTGTGGCTAATTATGTCGATTCCTGCGCACTTTGTCAATGCCGAAAACGATTAACTTCAGCTCCTGCTGGCTTATTACAACCCATTCCATGTCCTGACACACCTTTTGTCGTTGTCGGAATAGACCTCGTCGGGCCACTTCCCGTAACGCCAGCGGGCCACGGCTGGATCATCACAGCCGTCGACCACCTCACACGATACGCGGAAACCGCTCCTCTACGTACTAGCTCTGCCTCAGACGTTGCCGCCTTCTTTTTAGAAGCCAATGAGTTGTGTCATGGTGCACCTTGCGCGTTGTTGAGTGACCGAGGCAAGGCCTTCCTGTCAACAATTCTCGACGAAATCCTAAAAACACGTGGCACAGTTCATAAGACCACATCCGCTTACCACCCGCAGACAAATGGGCTGACAGAGTGATTCCACCGGACTCTAATCGACATGATATCTATGTACATCGGACCGAATCACGATATCTGGGACAAAATCTTACTGTTCATAACATTTTCACACAACACTGCTGTTGACCGAACCACCGGTTATTCACCTTTCTTCCTCGTCTATGGTCGTGCGCCGACATTCACTATTGACGCCTCTTTCTTCACTGTAATGACAAAAACGTCGACGACTACGCCAGAACATTTCGTCTCCAGGCTTGCTGAGGCACGGCAACGTGCTCAACTCAACACGGATGCCAGTCAACAAGACCGCAAGCAACGCTATGACAGCTTTCGTCGAGACGTCACCTTCCGTCCTAGAGATGAAGTACTACTTTGGACACCAGTTCGCACACCCGGATTGTGTGAAAAGTTTCAGTCACACTTTCTAGGACCTTACGTTGTTTATGAACGAACATCTCCTGTCAATTACCTTGTCACTGCCGTCGAGGGTTCCTCGGACTGTCGTTACCGTGCCTCCGAGATAGTCCACGATTCACGTCTTAAACCCTTTGTACGCCGTATCTTTCCCGCCTAAGTCTTGGCCGGGCCGGCCGCTCAAGTGCGCGGGAAAAATAAGTGTGAGCAATATTTATGCGTCCTATCTTTTCATCTGTACATACTCATCATCACCAGTCAAGTTTAGGTTGTGGGGCACATACTCGAGTCAATAAAGGAGAGTCTTGAGTGTACTTGACGCCATCTTACAATATTGTCACGGGGTCGTGACGTGGCCGAAGACAGGAGACTTCGTGTTGGGATTTAACTGATTATTTGGGCGAACCTGTGCCCGGTAAATGGAAAGTCCAATTACAGCAGCAGTCTCACACATATAGCAGTCTCGGACTGATAGCGGCGAACGGAGCGTCAGTCTTCGATCAACAACTAACAAGCGGCGAAGCGCGTCGGCATTTATACTCTTGCTGTCGAATGTTCTAGCGTTATCGCTGGCGGTGGCGTAGGTTCCAGAACAACCTGTACCGTACGCACAGTGGGCGTGATCTTATCAAAATGATCTACTACAGTCCGGAACCTTCTCGAAAACTGCAGGCGCGGTTTGCGCTGAGAATCGTGTGGTGTTTTGGGACGATAACAAAAACTTGGGAAATGAAACGTGGCAATATTTATGTTTTCTTTGAGTGCAATATTTGTCTTACTCGGCTGATACTGTATGATTAGTGAACATTGTAATAATTACGAATTGTGTTTGTTAGTTAGTACTGTGGTCTCTTTTTCACCCTGTAACCCGCTCCCCTCTGTATTGCCGAAAGCCTTAAAGGTACAATAAATAGATAAAAAATAAATAAATAAATTCAATACTGAATAAACATGCCTAAACAATTAAACCATGCGATGAACTCTGAACCCTAGCTGTCTCTCTATTTAGAGCCGTCAGTTTGTTGCGATCAAGTGCGTCTTTCGTGGGCTGTAATCACCGCAGGCGATTGCAGAATTGTTGGTAAAGATGTGTTAATAGAAACTGGTGCTTCGCACTGCTCTTACAAAAGAACTTCTTCAGATGGGAGTGACCGCAGCTTCAAAAACAAGAAAAAGTGAGTGACGCTTGTGTAATACAAGCCTCTCTCCCTATAGAGCAAGCATTCTGCATAGGACAAGTCTTTCTTGTATTTCCTGGTCATTGCTGGCGCGATAACATGCAAATTGAGCTCAACTGGACACTCCTATGGCTGTCTGTGGACTCTATCACTTTTGTTTGAGGAGAGCGGAAGTGCATAGACTTGAAATTTATATTTATTTTGGCTTCCGTAAATGCATTACATACATAAACATACAAAAAGCTTGCTCAGAACTGAAAAGCTCCGCTCACTTTTTATCAAATATTAAGATAAATATAATATCCAATACTACATCATGTAATACAATGCTCCAATGCTTTATGTGTTCCAATGTTCTATCATTACCTTCGTACTATACAAGCCTCACGTTGGGTTAGCGTCAATTGTATGTGAGCGCCATCTACTGAAGTTGGTCGACGTAGCACTAGCCAGGACTACCAGCTTCGCAAGCACAAGCGCTAAATTTCTGCTTACCGCTTTTGGTGTTGGTAATACCGATGTTGTTATTGGCATTGTTACGCCACTGCGAAAAACTACATGGTTATATAAAAAATTGGACGACTGTTGGACAAAGAAGCCCATACATGTGACATTTGCACACTTGTTTAGCTTCATTTCGAAACGCTTGGCTCAAAAAAAAAAGACTACTGCAGCGCATTCGACTTCCTCCAGCACCTGCATGATACTGATTCCCATGGTATGTGGTATTTTGCGAAATTATGTTAGTGCTTCCTTGAGAATATCCTAACAAATCGCCCCCAAAACTATCAATTCTTCAGGACATTTTACGTACAGCTTGTAACATTATCTTCGCTTAGGTACGGAAGGTGACTCTGCATACATCAAGGAAGGAATAATTGCGGAAGTGGCTGCAAGTTGTGCTTCAATGTTAGAAGTTGTAATCGTGAGCCCGCTAATCATGCTGCAGACTCAACTTCATTGTCGCGATCTCTAGTAATTTCCAGAAAAGTCATGAAAGTTGCGTGAAAAATCGTTTTTGCATCAACGCAAACACTACTTCCTTATGCAGTGGACCGATTGGTAATATCAGCAGTGTGTGAATTGCTGTGTGAATAATTGTGAATTCGCTTGTGCTCAATATATTTAGTTTTATGCAAAGCATTTTGCGTGAATTATTTAAATAGAAGTGTGAAAGCGGTTATCGAACTTGCATGGCAACTTACGGTGACTTTTACTGCCACTGGTTCTAGTTCTACTTTTTGCTATTTTTATATTATTTTGCTATTTTGTACCTTGCCGACCTGGTGACTCAGTTATAAACAGAAATCAGCATCTACAACTTCTATGAAATCTTTGTTCATTTTTCCAGCCCCTTAAAAGAATGAGGAACTGTTTATTAACTTAAGGTCTCTTCAAATATGGCCAAAAGTACAGACATTTAAACCTAGAAATTGGGTCGCACAAACAACATGAGAATAGCCATCGCACTGCCTGGTATTTTTCTGCGCACCCTTACATCACAAGCGTTCGCAATCCTTTCTCTATTAGTTAAGCAGTATTTGTTTATTTATTTATTTATTTATCTATTTATTTATTTATGATACCTTACAAGCTGAAAGAGAGCATTGAGTAAGGGGGGTACAAACTTCAAAGAGTATTAGGGCGGTCATCAATCACATGGAATACACGGAAAATAACACAACATCGTGACAAAGCGTGTCTAGTCACTGACACTCAAACAAATGTAATACGCCAATGTTTACCGATATGCAGAAAGCTTGAATAACAAGAAACTCAAGGTACATGGATTCAAGGTACATGACCGAGGTGTGCAACATACACACGCATTTTCTAACACGCATACTGCTAGCCGTACGAAGGCTAAATCTGTAATGGCTGTAATGGCTGAATCATTGAAAACATGCATCTGAGTTCTTAATCTGTTGTGACCGCATATTTCACATGATCAAGATAGATTATTACCCTTATTTGTACGTCATAATATAGGTTTAGTTATAGCGTCGATACGGATCTTTTTGCCCATCGTGAGGCCACGTCTTGCGGGTGCCTCCGCACTTTCCTTTGTGCCTTCACAATTTATTATTATTCCACTGCATATCGTACAATATTTCTATTTTCAACTGCATCTCCGCGAGAAGGGTGCACTTTCCACTGCGTTTACCCCGTCACAAAAGTTAGAGAACCACTGTGTTGGAAAGTACCGACAGACTACTTACTTTTCCAGGAAATGGCACACAGACTGTTTGAGTTACCATGCCTCACTTTTAGGCTGCTGACCTCACTTTTAGCTCAATGAGGATATATTTTCTTACTTATATTTCATCCATAGCTATGCGTTAGAACTTTGCAATGGCCCTATTTATTACCTTGGTAGAAAAATAGGTCAGAATGCATTTTACATGTCTAATGCAAAATGTGACCACCACGGCTACCTTCTACGACATTCGGGTCAGTAGCAGAGTGCTACAATGACGATTACACTGAAAAAAATTTTGCAGCTGATACCATTGTGGGTGACACATAAACAAAAAAACATAACATGCACAACGAGCAGTACAAATTTTTCCTGCAGTTTACCGAAAGGAGAGCCGATTCGCTAGGTCCTGTGAATGTTTTCTTTGCCAAGTCATTTTAATTTTAACTACGAGAGCATTTTGGGCAGGAACTCAACACATTTTTTATCTTGCGCTATGGACATTTTAGAATGTCTCATTTTTGCATTGCGAAAGTGTATATAGGGGCACTTACTCTTTAACTCTATCAATTCGGTCAGCAGCATGTAATTCCATGTCTGACGAAACATCAGATACTGTTCCTTCGCACCAATCTTTATCAGCGGACCTGCGCGATGTCATCCAAAATTCACACAAACTCATTAACGAATTGTTGATTGGTGTCACGTGTGACCGAAAGAAAAACGCGGTACATCACTTCAAACGCAACTATGGCCTATACTCGCAGTGATTTTTCTAGCTTTGATCACGGAGTTGCACATGCTCTGCAATCAATACTAGACCAACAAAAAACTCAGGAAATATATTGCCTTATTGGGGCAACAACAAAACTGCATTATTTTTCTTAGCAAAAATTATATACTAAAATTTTATTTGCATTAGCATAGCAGCAGATCTCCAATATTCTCGAAATCCAAGTCTTGTGGAAGCAGTCAGTTAGAAGTTCTCTAAGATGCATTGTGTCATTTTGAGTAAAAGATGAAAAAGCATGTCGGCTGCTTAGCCCCTAAATAGGTGCGGCTGTAAGATATATGAGGCCAAGTGGAAAAAGCGAATTTTCTCCTGAATTGCCGTTTTCTGGCTTTGGTTGTGGTAAATGCCCAATTCTTTTCCGTCATTTTGCGCATAAAGCATCCTTCTACGCAGTTTATTTCAAAAGACACAAGCAAAAAAGTTCGACCACCCATCACCTAAGAAACCAAAATTGAAAGTGTCAATTTTGTGTCCATCGCTCCGCCGCGGTGGTCTAGCGGCTAAGGCACTCGGCTAGTGGTAACTGGCGCCTTGCAGCTGAGACCAGCAACGGTGGGCTATGGCTTGTGCATTCATAAGAATTTACCTCTTAGAGCTTGTGTGGTACAATAATATTATTACGAGGCAGAGGGAAAGGCTCTGCCCCGTCGTAGACGAACGATGAAGAAGAAGCGGATTCGGCGCGCGAGATCCTAGCAGCCCTGAGGGGTCACACCTACCTGGAAATATTGCAAGTACACTTCTTTCTTTCTTCCTTGTATTTGTAATCTCCGTAACGAATTTGCGGAGGTGCTGGACAACAAAGCGCCATTCAACAAAAACTCCGATTGGACGACCACTGCGGAGCTCCGGCCTCGGCGACGCCTGCACCATACATGGCAATGCCTCCACCGGCCCCATCCCCACCCACGCACGTGCTGACGCATCCGAGGCATCAAGGAACGTTCTGCAGTGCGGACAAAGTTGATGTTGACAACTGAATAGCCGACTACAAGCGTACCTGTGCGCTCAACCGGTACAACCCGACTCTCATGCTGGCCAACGTGCTGTTTTGCCTGAAAGGCACGGCCAAAGTCTTTTACGAGAACCATGCTGAGGAGATCGGCAGTTGATACACGTTCAAAGAGAAGCTTCGCGACTTATTTGGGAAGCCCATCGGTCGAAAGGCGGCTGCAAAGAAGAAGTTGTCTATACGTGCTCAGGCGTCTACAGAGCCGTATATCTCGTATATACAGGACGTGCTGGCTCCTCGTCGTAGAGTCGACAACAAAATGTCGGAGTCGGATAAGGTTAAGCACGTCCTCAAAGGTGTAGCGGACGATGCGTTCAACCTGCTAATGAGCCGGAACTGCGCGACCGTCGAAGAAATTGTTCAGGAATGCCAGCGTTTTGAACAGGCCAAAAGCAGACGTAGTTCAAGATCTTTCACTCGGACTGTCCGAACACCGCTGCGACCACCGTTCTGCGAAGGTGGACTGACCTCTCATTGGCAGTCTTCACCGGCGTCTCAAATTACGCACATCGTCCAGCGGGAAATCGAAGCAATTACACCTGCTCTTCCCAGCATCGGCCACGTCGATTCGCAAGTACCTCAGGTTTGCTTGGTACAGTCGATTGTGCGGGAAGAACTCAGCAATTTGGGCTTCGATGTCTGCGTCGTTGCTCAGTCTTTACCGAATTGGCTTCCGCTTCAAGGTCGCCTGCCTCGCCCCAGGTTACCGCCCCAAGAACGGTTTTTTCTACGCTCTCGCGATGCGGCCGAATGGCGAACGGCGGATGATCGTCCGATCTACTTTAACTGCCGCCGCATAGGACACGTCACACGGTATAGCCGCAACCATTGGTCTTTGTCCCGAACACAGTATAACACTGCTCGCCGCGCCGACAGCTACCGCCTTTTCCGGCCTCCTGCGCCAACCCTCAACAGCTACCACCGCCTTCCACCCTTCGATGCCCTTAATACGCAGCACAGCCGCTCACTAGTCGCCTCGACAACATCAGTCTCGTTCGCCGCCTGCACGTCGCCCGTCTTCCCCTTCTCCTCTACGATGACGCCCGACCTTCTCGCTCAATTCTCATCAGGCAAACTAAGCCGTGCAGCTCTTAGAGGTGAAGCTGCATCCTCGATACCGACCTCAAATTCTCTGCTTGTACTGCTGACACGACGAAATTCGATCGACGCAGACGTTGACGGCCTGACTGTTTCTGCGCTTATTGACACTGGGGCTCATATTTCTGTGATGAGTGCCCGACTTCGTCGCCGCCTGAAGGAAGTTCTCACACCGGCTGCTTCTGGCATTATTCGTGTCGCCGACGGAAGAATTCTTGCCATCGTGAGAATGTGCACAGCACGCATCACCATCGCCGATCACCCCACATCTGTTCTCTTTGCAGTTATTGAGCAGTGCCCCAATGACCTAATCCATGGATTGGATTTCTTGTCCACTCATGCTGCTCTCATCGACTGTGCAACCGGTGTTCTCCAACTTGAACGGCCTCGACTTGGGGCTGTGCCATCTTCACCGTCACACCGGTTGTGCGCTGTTGATTATGTTCGGCTGTCACCGCAAGCCACCACGTTTGTGGCCTTAACGAAATCGCCAGCTCTTCCTGACGGTGACTACATAGTGTTTCCATTGGTGGATGTGCTCTTGGCGCGAAGTGTTGCTGTGCCGCATACCATCGTGACTATCGTGCACACCTACATTCAGCTTCCGCTTCTCAACTTTAGTAGTTCAAGCCAAGTTCTCCCGCAAGGCATTTCGTTAGGCCATGTTTCCTCACTTCATGCATGTAACATCGTGGCATTAGACCCGGAAGACTGCTCGTCCCCTATTGCAGCCAGCCGAGCAAACGCACCTACCGATGAAATCACGATAATGATTGCCCCTGATCTTTTGCCCTGTCAGGCTGCACAACTCCACCACGTTCTGACCACATACAGAGATATTTTCGACATCGATGACCGCCCTTTAGGTCAAATGTCCGTCATGCCTCATCAAATACATAACGGCGATGATAGTCCTGTTTGACGGCGTTCATATCGTGTTTCCCAGTCCAAACGCCAGGTCCTACAACGAGAAGTCAAGAACATGCTCTCCAAAGAAGTCATAGAGGCCTCTTCAAGTCCGTGGGCATCACCTTTTGTTTTAGTCAAAAAGAAGGATGGCATTTGGAGATTTTGCGTTGACTACCGTGCCTTGAACAAGATAACCCGTAAAGACGTATATCCGCTGCCACGAATAGACGACGCCCTTGACTGCCTTCATGGCGTGCGATACTTCTCATCAATAGATCTGTGTTCGGGCTATTGGCAACTTTCAGTCGACAACTTAGACCGCAAAAAGACTGTCTTTGTCACACCGGACGGCCTTTATCAGTTCAAGGTTATGCCTTTTGGGCTGTGCAACGCCCCGGCAACGTTCGAACGCGTGATGGACTCTCTCCTCCGTGGTTATAAACGGTCCATCTGCCTTTGCTACGTTGACAATGTGATTCTTTTTTCTCTAGCATTTGAAAGCCACCTAACTCGTCTGTCGACTATTCTAGCCGTTTTTCGGCAAGCGGGACTCCAGGCAAACTCGAAAAGTGCAATTTCGGCCGACGAGAAATCACGGTTCTTGGTCATCGTATAAGTGCTGCTGGCATCCAACCGGACCCTGACAAGATTAGCGCTGTCAAAAACTTTCCTCTGCCTTCTACCACCAAAGATGTTCGTAGTTTTGTGGGCTTATGCTCGTACTTCCGGCGTTCTATACGCAATTTCGCTACAATTGCACGACCACTCGCTAATGTTCTCAAAAAGAATGCGCCCTTCTCGTGGGGCCAAGACCAAGCAGCTGCGTTTTCTACGCTGATCCAGCTCCTCACTTCACCACCAATATTGGCTCACTTCGACCCGTTCGCGACGACTGAAGTTCGCACAGACGCCAGTGCTCACGGCAACGGCGCCGTCTTTGCTCTACACCAGGGGGCCGAACGCATGTTATTGCGTATGCCAGCCGCCTTCTCTCCACATCTCAGCGATAGTATTCGATAACGGAACGCGAGTGTCTTGCGTTGGTCTGAGCTGTAGCGCAATTTTGCCCCTACTTGTATGGCCGGGAGTTTTCAGTTATCACGCACCACCACGCTCTGTGTTGGTTGTCGTTGCTCAAAGACCCAACTCGTCGCCTATGTCGCTGGGCTCTACGTCTCCAGGAGTATACCTTCAACGTAATTTATAAGTCTGGCAGGTTACACCAAGATGCCGATTGTCTCTCACGTTCTCCGGTGGACCCTGCTAAACTCGCCATCCATGAGAGCGATTCTTGTGTGCTCGCCATATCCGATTTGCGCAACATCGGCACGGAGCAGCGCAGGGACGCAACCCTCAAGACGATCATTGAACGAGTATCTTCAGGACATTTCGAGCCTTCGCTCCGTCAATATGTCATCCGCAACGAAATTCTGTACCACCGCAACATTAAGCCTGATGGCCCGGACCTTGTGTAGGTTATCCCCCAACGCCTGCGTGCCACCATTCTTCAACATCTGCATGACGCTACGACGGCAGAACGCCTGAGTTTTTCACGCACTTATCACCGCGGGCGGCAACGGTTATTTTGGCCTGTACTGTATAAATTTGTTCGCCGCTATGTCGCTGCTTGCGAGCTCTGCCAGCGTCCCAAACGTCCTGCTCTCCGTACGGCTGGCCTGCTCCAACCTATCTACATTCCCCCGAAACCATTCATCCGCGTCGACCTCAACCTACTCGGACCTTTCCCAACGTCCATGTCAGGCAACAACTGGATCGCTGCCACAACTGAATATGCCACCAGATATGCTATAACTCATGTTTTGCCATGTAGCTGCGCTACAGACGTTGCAGACTTTCTACTGAATGACGTCATTCGGCGGCATGGGGCTCTGCGCCAGCTTCTCACGGATCGTGGCCGCTGCTTCCACGCAAAAGTTATCAACGAAATACACCTTAGCTGCTCTACCGAACATCACCTTACTACTGCATATCATACCCATACCAACGGTCTCACAGAGCGCCTCAACCGAACTCTTACGGACATGTTGTCTATGCACGCCTCTGATGATAACCGTGACTGGGACGCAATGCTCTCCAACGTTACGTTTGCGTACAATTCATCATGACATGACACCGCCGGCTATTCTCCGTTCTTTCTTCTGTACGGCTGATCCCTGCCTTGCCATTCGACACACTTTTTCCTTCTAATAACACCAAACCGATGGTGTATGCTCAGGACGTTGCTTTTAAAGCCCGCGTCGCTCGCCAAATCGCGCACACTAAGCTCACTGCTTCTCAGGCCTCACAAAAAGTTCGCTACGATGGCTGGCACTCTGATGTTGACTACCCTGCTGACTCTCTCGTCCTACTTTGGACACCGCATCGGCGTGAAGGCTTTTGCGAGAAGCTTCTTCCACGATACACCGGGCCCTACACAGTTCTCCGCAACGTCACTGACGTCGACTACCTCATCACTCTCGTTGAACCACCTCCATCTTCTGCCACACCACCTACTGATATTGTTCATGTGTCGCGACTAAAACCCTACTACACTGCCAGTTCTGATTGACTTCGCGGCGCCGTGACGGCGCTTCGTCCACCGGGGGTGATAATACGATGCAGTGGGCATGGCTCCACCCCGTCATAGACGCATTGATGAAGAGGAAGCGGATTCGGCGCGCGAGATCCTAGCAGCCCTGAGGTGTCACACCTACCTGTAAATATTGCGAATACACTCCTTCCTCTCTTCGGTGTATTTGTAATCCCCGTAATAATATCACCACACATATTAAATGCTATAGATTTTTATTGTGCAGGTCTTTTCAACTGTGTTTTAAAAATTATTTTTCTTTTCGAGGTTGACGTGTAGACTGAGAGTCGCCTGTATTGCGTTATGACCTGCCATGGGAGTCATTCTGATTTCACGCATTGGGAGCAACTGTGGAAAAAGGTTGCAAGGTTGCATGACAATAGAGAAATGTTTTGCCGGACTAGTTGCGTAACCTTGCTGATCATTTTGTTTGTGATGCAGAGCTTGGAACAGGAAGACGGGAAAAGAACATGATGACGTCTTTGCACTCCTTCAGTAGTCCCGCTGCAAATTTTTTTTACTGAGACTCTTCAAGAGAAATGCTTCAGAAGTGAGCTAAAGTGTGCAAAATTAAACAAGCTTGATGTTCGCCAATAGAGGGGAGCTCCAACACTAAATTAATATGTCTAAAAGCATGGGAGGATGAAGAAAGCAGCTCTTGGTCCGGAAAACACATGCAGTCCTGGACCTCCCCTGAAAATTCTGAAAGGGATGCCAGTGATACCATTTTGGCAACAGTCGCATGTGAAACGCCTCTCAATCGATAGTAGTTCTGAAGGAAGAATGGTCACAGCACGCGCTAAAATCAGGTGACAAAAGACCCGCAACAGCACATTTGCATGGCTCCTATGTTCCTGCAGTGCGAAATTCACCGACAACTTCAGCAGAACTGCAGTGTCATCTTGGCTCTAAAAGCAGTGTGCTTCGTCAAGATCTTGAACCCTAGTATATTGCAGGATGAATGTCATTTAAGCGTCGCAGAAAACCTCGATTTGAAAAGTGTGCGAGCTGGTGGTGGCGGTCTGCTCCCGTGAATGGTGCTATTCATAGTGTTCCTCTTGATTGTAGAGGTAATATGGTGTATGTTATTGACACCGAAGCTTTTCTGGTGGGCCACCACGTCCCCGTCGGTCTCCAAGAAACCAACAACGCACAAGAATTGAGGACTATATACAAATCATTTTGTTATACGCCTTGACTGCTTTGTGTATATTTTTTCTCTATTTCGCAATATATATATATATATATATATATATATATATATATATAATTCGGTAGGTATTGATGGACTACAGCAGTTTCACAATAGGAGGAATCACTTGGATCCATCGAGAATTGAAAGCAAATCTTACTCTATGTTCTGTATTGCATTTTAAACGAACGTAACTTAACAATACTTTTTTTTTTCAAAATCCGTCATGGAAACTCCATTGCACCCAATCCTACAATACTCCATTGAAGGAAACTTGCTGCATAGCTCATTTGAGTTGTATGAAAGTATTCCGTAAGACAATTCCATACCTCCGGTGTCATGATTACTTCAATAGTGCAATTATGTTTTTGTTAAACATCTTTATCACATCCTTCGCCATCAGCAGCGCCAACGGCGCATGCCCGAAGCTTATTGGGGAGGCAATGACAGCTACAGTATACAAGCAGGTGGTGTTTTTCATGAACGCCAAACGGAACCGCATTTGTCCGTGGTGGATATTTCGCGTAGAAGTGGTGTTGCGCTTGGCAACGCCGGTCATTTTTTGTCCGTCAGGACGTTGAACCACAGAAGGTGTATGGAAATTCGCGCAACTGAACTCCTGACCACTGCAGTCTTAAGCAAACATGTGTGGCAAAATATTTGTGTAATAATCATCATGAATAAGCGTAAAGTTTTTATGCAAATACGTTGGTTAACAAACACACGTAAGTGCAATATATCTGAAAAGCAGATGCTTTCTTCGGGTTGTGATGACACAATAAAACATTGGGGTTTCAGTCTCGTGAACTTTCACTTTATAACTTTATTTTCGGAGGTGCGTTGAAGTTTGTTCAATTGAAGTTTCAATTCATAAAATAAAGTGCACACTGGAACGAACGTGTCTTGCTTGACATCGGTTTAGTCCTTGCGTTGCCCTATGTTACGCTGCGTGTCCACACTACGACGGCTTTCTTGTATACAATTCAAAAGTAACATTTCATGCAGACGTTGTACGAACATGTAATATTGCAAGTTATACTCACAGGATATAGTCAAATTCATTGTCATATAGCACATAGAAGCTTGTATCTGAAGGGGTATTCGCCTGAAAGTGAGTCATCTCAGCACTTTATCATGCAATTTCATGTAGCAATTCAATACCTTACCGAGTGTAGGTAATCAAAACAAGTAGTGCCAGGATATCTAACTGCCCGTAAACCTTTACCACAGGTACCAACCAAACGAGAAGATATGATGAAGCTTCTAAGGGCCTTTAGCAACCTTTATTGCAAAATACGAGATATCAATTGATATATGACTTGTGTACGAATACTACACACCAATAGGTTTGTGTTAAAAGCACGCAAGTTGTACTAAAAAGGTGAAACACCGATTGCCAATGACTCCATCAATATATTTCTTTAAAAAAATAGCCGCGAAAGAAAGGTCATCAGTGGCACATTCCTATATAATCCAGGCTAGCGAAATGTAGCTATGATCTGTTGTTGCAAGTGCAGTAAAAAAAGACTGCTGACGAGAAAAAATGTTAACTTTGCCTGGTGCTCATGCAGCTATTTTGCCATGTACAACTACACAATAGTACTCGTCAATACGTAGCTCAGTTTATCCATTGATAACATTTCCCACTCGAACTATGTGGCTGGTTCAAAGTACCGTTTCTTTTTGCAATATTTTCGCTTCGATTCCATCACACGCGCCACGTGTGCTTTGCAAGGACTCTACAGTTAGGTCATTTCGGTCATTATGCGCCTACTTTCTACCACTATACCTTGCCTCCTTATACTTTTTTTTTCGCTAAACGATAAAACTGAAAGAAACACCACGCCGGCGCGGAGAGCACGCGCAATCCCAAACAAAGCGGTAAGAGCGGAGTTTCCAGAATTTGTTGCAAGCTTCTGGAGCTACCAATTCAAGTATGCTTGCAAATTTCTACTGTTGGAGAAAATATTTTGGTGTCTGATGACGATGAAAATTTACACTGACCGTTTTGTAATGGGTAGAAAGCATTCAACGATCGACTCGTCAGGGCGAACAAGTTGAGTTTACAACTCGGACAATTTCTTTTTCAAAAAGACAATAGTCTTTCTTGGGGACCTTCGGCGCAAAAAATTTGATCTGTGTCTCTGTCTGTACACTTGTCTGCTTGTCCATCTTTAATGACACCCTAAAAGGCAACTGAATGACCAGCCGATACCCCAAATGGCCGACCCCATCCTCAGCGCCAACCAACATTGCTCAAGGTTCAGCGTTCATACTTGTGCGATTTTCAATTGAAGAATAAATATTGCGCATATCTGAGGCACAATAACAACACGTCAATAATTTGTATGTATACCGTTTACTGGACAAGGCATACATAAGCAATTTTAAGGACCGTAGCGTTTATCACAGTGCGCTGACCATGCAACGCTTGAATGAAAGGCAAGTGTTTTCAACGCTTTGCCAAGACGACACGGTGGTTGTACCTACCCGTCGCCTTCCATTCAACACCATATCACCTTCGAGACAGGCATGCACGCCGCACAAGCGCTTTTTTTCTAAAATAACTGCCAGATGGCACTCATATCTCACGTGTGAAGTGACTTGATGCGCTGGTTTGTCTCCGCTGCACGCTCGAGGCACTCTAATGCCTAGTTCACAGTGAAACATCCGCTTTCTACAGCGACCGCCATTCCCACGCCACCGAAACGCAACGTCGTTTGCGCCTCCTTTATCAGCGGGTTTAATACAGTATCTGTGCGTTCTTGTAAACATTTAACTGCATTCCGTTCTTTGAATGTGAGGTTTCCTTTGAATGAAATGCGATTCCCATAAGCCTGCAGGATGTCACGCTGAACTGCAGAAATGTAAATATTGTGAGAAACCGGTTTATTCGGCCAGGCTCGAGCTAAATACTGCTGGTGATGATATTTTTTAGATCAAAAAGATGTACAGGTGATGATGATTACAAAGAGAATAAAGAGTCATTCGCTTGTCACGCTCACACTTAATCCCCCGCGCGGTGAAAGCGGCCGCCTGGTCGCTTGACAGTATTAAGAAATGCGTCGCATATAAGGCTTTAAACGAGATACGTGCACTATCTCTGTTCCTCGCAACGATGATCAGGACTAGCGCTAAGAGGAGTAACGCGGTAATTGACAGGAGATGTCTGTTCGACCACCGTGTATGGCCCAATGAAGCGACTGATGAATTTGTCGCATAGGCCGGGGACGCGTAGTGGAGTCCATAGAAGAACTTCGTCACGAAGGGAAAAACTCACAACACGGCGAGACGAGTCGTAGCGAGATTTTCGAGTGTCTTGAGAGAGGCCGGTGTTAACCCGAGCCTGGTGACGGCAGTGTGCGAGACGAGATAGGAATTCTTCAGAGAAAGGAGCCGTCGAGGGTGCAGGGGCCGAAAGGAAAGAGACATCCAGAGCGAAACTCGGTGAGCGACCATGGACGAGAAAAAATGAAGAAAAGCCGGTAGTGCGTTGAGCAGCCGTATTATAGGCAAATGTCACGAAGGGTAGAATCGCATCCCAGTTCGTGTGGTTGGGGTGAATGTACATGGCGATCATGTCCGATAGGGTCCGATGAAACCGTTCAGTCAATCCGTTTGTCTGCGGGTGGTAGCTAGAAGTGGTCTTGTGAACAGTGTTCGAGGCACGCAAAACTTGCTCGACAATGGAAGATAGGAAGACTTTACCACGATCACTGAGGAGGATGCGTGGAGCTCCATGACGCAAAAAGATGTGGCGAAGAAAGAAACCGGCGATCTCAGTGGCAGTCTCAGATGGTATAGAAGCTGTTTCTGCGTAGCGGGTAAGGTGGTCGACTGCCGTGACAATCCAGCGATTCCCATTGGATGATATAGAAAGAGGGCCATACAAGTCGATTCCAACGACTTCAAAAGGTGAGGCGGGACAAGGAAGAGGTTGCATTAAGCCAGCCGGAGCAGTTGTCGGTCCTTTTCGGCGTTGGCAATGGACACAGGAGGCGACGTACTTAGCGACGGCTCAAGAGAGGCCAGGTCAAAAACAACGACTTCGTATTTTGTCGTAAGTCTTGTGGTAGCCTAGACGAGCAGCGGTTGGATCATCATGAAAGAATTCCAGAACTTCACGTTGCAGAGAACGTGGGATGACGGGTACCCACTTGTTGCCATCGATGTGGTAAATGTAGCGACATAAAGCATCACCGACAAGCTTAAATTGTTTAGGTTGTCGTCGGAGTCTGGCGTTTGGAGGAGTAGTAGAGCCGGTCAAGCGGTCAACAATTGTGCGGCAGCATGGGTCGACACGTTGTTGTGAATCAAGGACGGATAGGGTGGCAGGTGATGAACTTAGCGCTGTGATTCGAGGAATTTATCGCGTTGTGTTGGCGGCATCCAGTGTTGATGGTGTCACAAAACAAGCGCTCATAAAAGGGCGAACCGCCAAATTCTCGCGACAAAGTGCCGAGAGGTCAACGATAAAAAAAGAAAACAAGCATCCAAAGACTCCCCGGGCGCGCGTCCCTCTCCCTTCGGAAGCGTGGGTTCGCCGACGAACCTCCTCTCATCGGCGGCTGAGCAAGCCCTGGAACGTTCTCCATGGAAAGGGGCGTGGTGATGCAGGGTTGCGTCATCCTTCGCGGACAGCCCTCGTACCGTCTCGCCTTTTCCCCCAGCCTTCGCTGCGGATCGCGCCGACGAAATGATGAGAATTTACTGGAATGTCGCGCGGAAGGTATTTAACCGAGCAGCAGTGATGGGAGATCAGGAGAAGAAGGAAGTTGGCGCCAGAGTGCGTAGGGTATCCCGCCGCGTCTGTCGGCGAAGGTTTTGTCCTTAGTGACAAAGCAGGAGAAGAAGAAGATATGCGCCAGAGTACGTAGGGTGTTCCGCCTTGTGGGCGAAGCCTTTTGTACTCCGTGACAAAGGAGGAGAAGAAGAGGATTTCCACCTGAGGGGTGAAGAGTCGAGCTACAGGCAAGAGTGTGTGTCTACCGCTATTGAGCGAAGACACGTGGCAACAGCTGCGTGTGCCAAGCAGACGTGTTTCCGGCGAAGACGTTTGGTGATTAGAGAGCGGCCAATTGAAGACGCGAGGTTTCCTGGACGACAAACTTCGGGGGCAGCGGAACGACAACAACGCTGGACTTTTAGTGAGTGATTTTCGGAAGAGTATCATCCAGACTTTTGTTCCAAGAACTTTGGACTGAATAGGTTTTCTATCTCGTTAGTCTTTAGGTGTCTTGGTTGTTCGATGCATGCGACTGCATTGAGTGCGTGTTGTTGTCTGTGTCCGTTGTTTTGAGAGTGGCTGATCGTACTGTGTAGTACATTGTTTGATTGGTGACATATTGTATTCAGCTATTGTCGAGTGTGCATACTTGCGTATCGTTTTGATCTGCCATAATTGAGAACATAATTTTGTTTGTTTATCAACTCTCGGCTCTGATTTGTTCTTTGGTCCACAGCCGGCATCCGCTGGCGCGCCAAATAGGACTACTTCTAAATTGTCCACGTTTTCGTGGTGCGATTCGGGGGGCCGATACTTCGGCCCTTGGAATTATCCCGGCTGTCGCCTCCCAAATTAATGGGACCCGTGACAGATGGGAAGGCATGTTACTCTTAGATGATGAACGTTTATGGACAAATTCGCTTAGCCTCATACTGCGCGCCAATTCATCTAAGTCTTTTATCAAGGTAAATTCATTGTAGCCGCCTGTAGCATGACAGAAATTCAAGCCCCGAGCAATCACACTCATTTCTGAGTCAGATAAAACCACGTTTGAAACGTTTACTACGTTAGGTCTAGCTGATAGTTTGTCTCGTCTAGAACAGGATGAATCGACGGGAAGTGAATATTTGTTGGTCAGTGGTTTTGGAAAGGTAATGAGGTCACACAAAAACTTTTTTCTTCTTCTGTTCAATTCTGTTTTTCTTTCTGTTTTTCTTTCTTCTGCAAGGTGTGCCCCCATATGACCACGTCGGGTATTGTTAAGAGCTCTGCGTCAAACTTCACTCTCTGTATAAAAGGCAATTTCGACTGCGACACGAACAATGCAATCTACTTGCTTCAATGCTCATTGTGTGACCTCCAATATATTGGTCAAACGA